ACCTCTATGCCAAAAAGCCATTCAGATGTCCTCAGCAATCAAAGTTTAGCCCCCTTAATTCCCATAAAGCCTAGCATAGTTTGGAAAACGTGTGAGCCAAGCATGAAAGAGGGTTTGGCCCTTCAAATTAGAGACTCTATTGTTTCCTCTAATGCTGCTGAAATGCCACCGCCTCTGCCCTGGAGGGGACTTATAAATGCCACCATAAGCTCCAGGACCCTAAGGATTTGAGCCTTGAATATCTGAATGGGAAGAGAAAAGTGATCCATACAACCAGACACTTGGGAGAAGGATATGAACGTGATGCAGTAAGTATATAAATGAATTTATTTTTGGTAAAACGTGCTCAACAGCACAACACTCAAAGGGGTTATTTGATACTGTAAGGGAAAAGCAGCAATATGGAATGCCAGGAGTGACACGGAGCAGGCAACTGCAGTGTCTGCGGGGTGATTTCCAGTGGGAAGACTGAGCTGAGCTGAGGAGTGTCGGTGTCAGAGCACGAACTTGCTTAGAGAGGAGTCACAGTGGTCCCCTCAACACGCCCAGCTTAGGGCAGAACCTCAGTGAGTCAGCCTGATCTGTTCTGCTTTGCACTGTCTCCTTGCCAGTGCCCTCTGGGCTCATGTTTTCAAGACCAAATTAATAAATATGTGCCATGGATGCTTCTAGATCATCCACTCTACTGTCTGTATAGAGCTCTAATGCACAGATATTACATTGTTCTCTCCGTGAACAATTTTTCTAATGCTTCAGGGCTGTTGCTTGCCAATATTCACTACAGGGACATTTTTTAGGTCTCAGATGTGGCCGGTTTCACAGCTTCCCGGCAGGCTGAGGTATGGGGGATTTGTGCTCAGGAGCACAGGATTATCAGGAGGGAGTTGTGCTCAGCAGCACACAGTGCAGAGCCGCGTGCCCTGGGTGTGAGGAATGCCTGCAGCGCGCAGGGGCTGTGAGCACGGGAGCGTGGGCTGCTCGGGCACACTGCCACTGCTGCCATTCCCCAGTGCCCACCAGCCTCTGATCCCCTGCTGCTCAGGCAGAGCTGAAACAAGAGACAGCTGTTTGTCACCCTTTTATTGCACCATTTCTTGCACATGTAAGCATCACTGGCACTTATCTCAGTGTGTTTTGCTGCAGGGACAAACTGTCCTCTTGTCTCTACAGGAGAAGCTTTGATGTGTAACACCTTTCAAATGGAAAACGCATATTTATACCTCATCTAAATGGAAGGATCAGAAAAAATGACAGGCTGTTTTGCAAGGATGTCCCAGCTGAGTCTGCCCTTCCGGGAATGATGGTAACAATTTCAGTTCAGGATTAAGATCTGAATCTTCCCCAGAACTCCAGGAAGTGACTGCTCAATTGAGGGGAGCTCTGGACAGACATTTTTTAAAGAAATAGAAAACAGGAGACAGTCCACATCATGACTCACCTGCCTTAAGGAAAAACTGAAGAAAAGTCATTGTAAATGGGAAAAGGGAGTCAGGGGATACAGTCACATGGCCTTAACTGGTAATTTCAGAGGAGTGACTGAGCATAAAAGGATCCTCTAATGCATTGGTGGGTGGTTGTTGTGTGGGGATTGAGAGGGTCTTGATAGCAGCTGTGAGAAGTATGGGAGACCAAGGGTTTTGTATCTTGAAGACAGAATAATCCAAATGTATAGCATGACCTTCAGAAAAAAAAAAACCAAAAAAACAAACTTGGTCAAATTATGTCTGATGGACTGAAAACCTTGAGTGTGGCCAGGTCACAGTTTTTAAGTGTGGGTGTGATGAGGTGGTGACTTTACTCCTGGCTGAGCACTAGTGGGAGTGACAAGCTGTATTGCTGTCGCTCTTTGGGACAGGGCAGTCCCCTCTGGTGCTGCCCTCTGTGACATTTTGTAGCTCCAGGCAGTAGAAATCCCCGTGTACCTCTGTGAAGTCCTGTCGTATTAAATGCATGACTCGGTGGGTGTGGACAGGCAATGACTGCCACGAGGCATGACTAAAGGTGTTCCAGATGCTTAGGTCAGACCTGCCCATCCACCAGTGGCTCATGAGGATAATAACAGTGACACCTGCAAGCTGCTTCCCATGCAGGCAAAGGGCAGTGTCTGCTAAGTTCCAGTTCTTGATGTGATATTCAAAACCATAGCCTTTAATACGTGTGTGCTGCTGCCAACTTCAGCTCTGCTTCTTTTCTAGTCCTTAAAAACTTGTGGCCCTCAAATCCACCAAATGGTGTGTGAGAGGGATTATGGCCTGTGGCAGTGCATAAGCCTTTGTGTGCTTTTCATTTTTGTGATATACTTCAGTATCTGGGCTAGTATCTGTTACCCAGTTTCTGGCTGCTGTGCTTATCAGTCGTGGCTCCAGAACACGTCCTGGCACACAAGTACTGCTGTTGGCACTTGGTTGTGATGACACAAAATAATCTTGCTAAGGAGTGGGAGGCCCTCTGCAGCCTAAATTCGGGTTTTAATTTCTTGGTTTGTTCCTATGATCATGCCACCCCTCTGGTAGCATTTGTCATGAGAATGAAAGGATTGATCACTTGTTTTTTGAGTTAAATTCAGGTCTTTTCATATGAGGCTCTCCTTTTGACTTAGAGGAGCTAGCTCAGAAAATCCTGGAAGAATTTTCTGTGCTTGAAGCTAATGAGTTGTCTAGAAATAGGTGTTTGCAAACAGGATTAGGGATTTTCCTTCTCACTGTGAAACAAAGGAATACTTTGTGTTTATCAAAGTCCTTCCACTGAAGTGCAGCACGTGTGTGATGCTGCCATGGCAGCCTGCTTATTGTGATTGTCTACTACAAAAATAGAACAGGAATCTGTTTTTCCCCTTACAGGTTCTCTCCTATCTTCAGCAGTGTGCTTGTTAATGGTTTGAGGGCAAGTTATGAAGTAGCTCAACTCCAACTTCCAATTACTTATTAACCTAAAATTACTTAGTTATTAATCACGCAAGGAGCAGAAGTGTAACAAAGCCTGTAAAGACTCCAGGATCATCACACTCCCTGCCTGTTCTGAAGAAATTATTGTTACCCTTTCCCTCAAGAGGTGAAGCAGTATTACCAAGCTGTGACTTGTTCATAGATTTCCAGGGCATGCAAACTATGCTGATTATGAAAGACGAAAAAAATAATTGTCCCTGTGCATTGATGATTGAATTTCTATGAAAGGGATCAAAGCCTTCTGTTTCTTGGGGTTGACAGCAAAGCAGCTCTGTGGCCCTGAGGACCTGCTTCCCCTCCCCATCCCTGCTCCCAGCCTGCACTGACCAGTCCTTCCCAACCACTCACCAGGTAATTTTGTGTGACTCAGATGAGGTCAAAACTTGCCCAGTGGTAGGAAGAGTTCAAGGGTGAGAGAGAGAACTAGAAATAAACCAGAGCCACGTTGCCCAGGCCAAGGTAAGGACCAACACACCTGGTTTTACTGGAAATGGGAACTGCAGTTTTTTATTACAATTAGAGGTTTCTTTGCTTTATTGTATTAATTTCTTACTGAGACATCTTTGCATGAATCTAAGTACTTTAAGCAGTGGATTTTCAAAACTTGGTTACAAACTTAAAAAAAAAAAGATAAAAAGAAAAAAGCTGTCTGCAGAAATCTGAGGTTTTGTTTGCTTTTTAAGCTGAAAAGTTTGAGGTCAGGATGAAGCCTGATTTATCCTTTGGGGGGAAGTTAACATTACATTTTGCTGTTGTAAGTCAACAGTGTGGTCTTCAGTCATAAAAACACTCGGGTAGCTCCTGGTGCCCAGAGATTCAGGGTGTGAGTGTCCAGCAGGGTGGCAGACTTGTGAGAAACAGGTGTTTGACATTATCTTGGGTTAGAGACTGAAAGGAGTCAGGCTGCTACTGCTCTCTGCTCCAGCTCTCTGGTCCCAGAGCATCAGGCAGCGTGCTCCAGTACCTGAAGCTGGGAGAGGAAGAACCAAACCTCTGGTTTTAGAGCAGCTGGGAAGCTGTGTGGGTTTGTTAAACTGTCCCACTTGAGATGGAGCAGCCCCAAGCCCCAGCACAGAGCTCCCATGCTCTTGTGAACTGAGTTTAAAAACTTTGCGTGCTGCTTCCCTCCCGTTGTGAGTGATTCTCAGTGTTGTAAATGCCAGTTAAATCCTTGTGTCAATATTTTCAAGGTGCAAAGCCAGAAACTGCAACACAAAGTTTAATCCCAAACACCAGGCTTGCTGTGGTGTGTGTCTGGCGGTGTGTCCATCTCTGGACAGAAGTACACCACAGGAGAGGATGTGACCAGGAATCAAACATTTGAGTATTTGAGTCTGTTCTGCCTCTCCCTAACATCAAATTATACAAAGCAGAAGGAACTTGATATGAATCAGTGAAATAATGGGTGTGAAGGCAAATTCACGTTTGGTGTTTTTCATGCTCCTCTCTGTGGCCCAATAACTTCTTGTTTTGGGGTTGATCTGGTGAACGAATTATTTGCTGGAAACAGATGGGCAAACAGCAGGAATGGTGAAGGTGTGTCTTGGTTCAATTCTTTTTTCTAGCTTAAGCATCTGCTTATGCAGTTTACTGCTGAGCAATTAAAGTAAGAGGCCGTGCTTTCCCTCTTACAGGCACAGCTCTTGCCCAGTAATGTCCATAAGGGTGTTACACATTTCAGCAAAAACAACTGTGAGGGGTTAAGGGATCAAGCTCTGCTGTCACAATTTGCCATAACGTTCTAAATCTGTGTATCTATGCTGGGACGTGATCTGATGGGCGATTCCCCCAAACCCTGAGGATGGGCGTGCATCTGAGGGAAAGCATGCTTTATCCATTCATGATGGATTAGGAAACAGAAGAGGTTAAAGCCTAACAAGAGCTTTGGGCACAGGATGTCTCACCAGATGATTCCAGGGAGTCGGCAGGTTGCCTCCCTCGGTCAAGTTAGTGATTAAAGCGTTAACCGGAGCCTCCTGGAGGTGGAACCGTGACTAAGGGCGGGCTCCTGTCAGCGCTCGGAGAAAGGAAAGTGCTAGGTAAATATTCCCGACGTGCACCGAGGTGCGGGGAGTGTCCCGGGCTTCCAGCATTCCCAGTTTGTTAAACAAAACAGTAATTAACAGCAGCAGCTGAGGCGGCTGTCCGCCCTGGCCACGCTGCCATGCCTCTTTGGGGGCTCCGGGAAAGGCTCGTGAAACTCCAGCCGCGCTTCTCCTGCTCGGATCGCCCGGCCAGGTGAGTGCCAAGGGCGGCCGGGCTGGTCTGCTCGCTGTGCTGGCTGGGCAGCGAGGTCCTGGGAGGCTCCGGACACTCCGCTGGGGCATTGGGGTGCCGGGGGGAAGGAGGAAAGCTCCACAGAAGGAGGAAAGCTCCACAGAAGGAGGAAAGCTCCACAGAAGTCCCTAAGGCTCCGTGGGAGCCGGCTGAGGTTGGGGCGGGCGGCGGTGCCGCTCCTCGGTGCGCCCTTGCCTCGGTGCGGGAGGGATTTGGGAGCCACGCCAGTGACCTTGTGCGGCTGGACACGGCCCGTGCCCCTCGGCTGCGGGCAGAAAGGAGCTTCTCCTGCACTGGGGTACCGGGGGGCTCGAATGGGATGCGTGCGAGCCCCGATCGAGCGATGCCCCCGGGGAGACAGCGTGCCTCCTGCCTTGTGCCGGGCAAAGTTAAGGGGCCGTATTCGCATAATCCAGTTTACCGCTGTTTTTGTCAAATCCCGTTCCGAGCCTGCCTGAGCAGGGGGTTTATGCTGCGATTTGTACTCAAGGAGTGCTCTTAGTGCTCGGTACTGAACAGCTAATTATTAAAATAAGGCGTGAAGAAATCTGAAAGTCCGAGGAAAAAACAAAGCCCTTTTTAGTGGGGAAACACAGTTGTTCAGAATAAGTACTTGGTTTTAATTACCACCTTTTTCTTTGGTGGTAGGGACACCTGAGGTAAACAAAAATAACAAAAAAGGGGAACATGAAGTCCCATAACTAGAGTATGTGACTAGTAAAATTATTCTGCTGGTACGGAGTTTATCTATCTGAACAAATCTTAAATTCACCTTCATAGCTACCAATCAGGATTGAAAAATTTGCTAAACACCAGACACCTGTGAGTTTAGAAGATGACTCAGCTGGACATGGTGTTGTGCCTATGTACAAAATATTCTTTGTGTGTCTGTAGTGGATAGCTGAGTTAAAGGGCAGCTGAGCCTTGTGGTTTCTGTACAAGAAATGGAAGAGGTTGGCCCTATCCTGACTTCCTGTGGGTTTGGAAGAGCTTTGGGGAGCTCTGGGTTAAAATACCTAGGGGTCTTTGCTGAGCTTTGGGGTTTTAGTTCCTCCAGCGCGGGCAGAGGCTCTGCGTAGCGCACTGCACTCTGCGGGCCCTGTCTTCGCCTGTGGATGCACCAGAAAGCACATCCAGGCTCTTTCACAAACTGAGGTGCTGCCTTGCTGCTCCTCCTTGGCTCAATTCCGGGTGTCCCTCTCCTTCCAGTGCTCCTCTGCAGCTGCCTTTTTTTATCCTTGTCTGAAAATCTGTGTAGCCATTTGCTCTTAACTTTTGCTTTCTCATTCCTGCACTCTACTGTCCCTGGTCTGTCCCCTTAAGTAAATGACTTAAATTTCACTGTACTGAATAGAAAGGAGCAAGTCCTCTTATCTGCCTCTGCATGGACACTTGGACTTCTTTTTTGGGGGAAAAAAAAACCAAAACCATTTCAGGTAAGGTATGAATCTTACAGACAAGTACAGCTCATTACCTTTGTGAGATTTGTCTTGTGCCCTGACATGTTGCACAAGACAATGCTCTTGCAGCTTTGAAATGTGCACTGGTCTGTTTTCCCTTTGCTTTTCCTAGACTCCTCCAATAGTTGCAATCCTCTTCTAGAGGTGCTCAGTTTGCAGGACCCCCAGTTTTCATGTCCTCCTGAGTTTCCCGCTGCTTTCCTTTCTTTCCTTCACTACATATTTCAGGCTTCAGTCAGTCTTTCTCCAAGCATTAGGTTTCTACTTAGCTAAGTCTCAGGCCAGCAGTTTAGTCCAGCCAAGATTCCTCTTTCCAGGTGTAACCTATCTGAGGAAATTCTGCCCTTCTAGACCAGTTTAACATAATGGTGAAGACACCTGTGTGATACCAAGTAAGTCAGGAGATGGCTTTGAATAAATGGCACAGGCAGATATGGTTGGAGTGGCTGGAAAACTAGCATGGCTGGCTTAGTGCAAATCAAAGGGAGCAGTGGAAAAGGCATTTACTTCTGTTTGCTTCCTCAAAAGGACTACAGGGAAGTGGCATGGAAAGCAGCAAGGTAGCAGGAGGTGATGGGAAATCTAAGAGCTTTGTGGATTTAGGGAGCGCCAGTGCAAACATCCTGGCATCTGTTGTGTCAGGTACTGGTGCTGGGGAAGTCACTGCGCGGTGGCAACCCCCAGGTTGAGGTCTTGGCTAAAAATAAGCCAGAATGTGCCCATGGGAAGGGTCCAGGGAGAAGAGGCTCACCTCTGGAGCGAGCTGGTGGTGTGGAAGTGTTTGGTGCAAGGCTGATAAGCACAGCAGGTCACATAACTGGGGAGAGCATAGTGAGAGTTGTGCTTCTCCCCAGCCACAGGAGAGAAGGCTCAGCCCTGGATATTGCAGCCGTGAGGGAAAGAAAGAGAAAGGCATTGGTGAAGCATTATCCCCATCACCACCCGCTCTTCCAGTTAGCTTTATTTCCAGCACCTGGCTGATTTAAAATCTGTCCGAGGCAAATAATTTACTGGGAGCCATCCACTGCGTAGCAAAACACGGTGTTCATCTCTTTTGTGTGTGTGTGTAAAGGTCACTTCTCTCCACGTGCAGAGATCAGCTTTTTCTTTCAGATGAATCATTTTAAGGCCAAATAGTGTAGAAAAGAGTGCAGCCACAAGCAGTGAGGCGCTGCTGGAGCTTGCCAGTGTTGCTGCTCTACAGTTAATAGAGGTGACTCGGCTATCCACTGCTCGTAACATGTTGTTTCCTGACAGGTGCGAGGAAGCTGAGGTCTGTCTTCAGTTATTCAGGTGCCAAAGTACATGAGCTCCTCTGCATCTTGTAAAAAAGGCTTGAAATTACGCTAACACGGGCAGCTGCTTCACTTAGAGGTCTTAAGCAGATCACATAAAATCAGATTTCAAGGTGTGGCCAGTGGTTACTGAAGTCATTTCAGAGGGAAAAGCCAAGCGGTGGTATACAGCAGTGTATTCCTCGCACACAAACTCATGTCTGTACAGAAGTCCCTGGGCTTGTTTGGCTTGCAGGTGTGTTTTTGTCTTCATGGATGTCACCCAAAGGACCAAGGGAGTGCTGCTCCTTTCAGTGAGCTCCTGACAGAGCCCTGCTAGAAACACCAGCTGCTCGGGTGAAGCTCATTTTGGTAGGGCACTCTGGCTTTAGGGCTTAGGAAATAACTTCCTGTATATTTTGTAGGGTGAAGATCATGGTTTTTATATGCCATTTGTCCACATATGTTGTTTTTTAGAAGCTGTTTATCTGTGATTATGGAAAATGGGTGACATCTAAAAAAGCAGCTCAGCAGTGCAGTACACAGAGGTGAGGTGTTTCCTCTTTGCCCAGCCATGACCTGTTCAAGGTTGAATGTTCCCTAAATCAGTTTTTGGAAGGCTGCTTGTCATGGGGACTACAGACAATCAGCTGCTTTGCAGATACCTTTGACCAGGCCCTGTCCAATGCAGTCTGAAATAAGATTCAAGTCAATCCCCTGGCATTAAGGGACAATGGGCATCGAGTGCTGTGAGCCAAATTCCTCTGTCATCATGTCCAAATAAGAGAAATGGCAGTGGAATGATCAATTTCCAGTGCAGTCTTTGGAGATGTTACTGCTTTTCACGGGATTCTCTGAGGTTTTTTTTTTTCCCAGCCATGTGTCATGCCATTTGTTCAGTTAACTCCTAAGTCCTCCTTTTATTCTGGTACCTGGGGGTGAAGGAAAGAGCCTAGACTCCATAATTAAGTTTATTGAGGAATGCATTGTTGAAGTCTCGTTGCTCTGGCTCGTTGCCTGCATAATATGCTTGAATCCCAGTGTGGAAATCTGTAAATTGTATTGCTGCCTCCCTGAAATCACTGTCTTGTTCTATCTGTGCTATTCCACTTGCTTCCTTGGTGTGCTGCAGAACACTGCTAACCATCACCACTCCTTCCCTTGCCTAGTTTTAGGAATCTGGATTCCTAAAACAGTGTGTTTTGCTGACCCTGGGTCATGCTGTGTCCATAGTGGACACATGGATCCTGGCCAGTACCTGGGCTGCTGTCTCAGACTGCTGACAACTTGAGCATAATCCTGGAGTTGAAGAAGTCCTAAAACTGCTTGGGAAAGTCCTGGTAGATATAGTGCCTGGGATTTAAGGGGCTGTTATACACTTGATGGGAATGGCTTGTGGCTTTTTTTATTAGGACTTGGGTATTAAGGCAAAGTATGAAATATTCAAAATATGGTGAGTGAGCCCTGAGCTTGAGTGTCCCAGCCTGTCTCACTTAGCCAGCTAAAGCTTTGTGCTTGATTACAATTCCATCTTTTGTAGTAACAGTAGTGGATGCATTTGTTTTTCTTTCACCTTTTCCTTAGATTCATCTCTTCTGAGTAAATGAAGAAAGTGACTATGAAGGCACAGCATCTGCCTTCTGTTTTCGTCAATGAAGAGAAGTTCGTAACCAGGTAAATTATTAAAACACTGGACATTTAATGACTTTGCTGCTTTCTTTCAAGTTATTCCACATGTATTCCTTGACAGGGGATCCTGTAGAGAGCTGAGCCTGTAGCAACAGCAATCCCTACCACTTAGTTAGTTTAACCTGCCTACAGAACAGAGTTGGCCTTGACATGGAATTAAAAGAACAGAGCGTTAAGCCTTTGGCTCTGTGATTTTTGTTTCTTAAGGAGAACAGCCCTTCTAGAGGATTCTGAAAGAAAATTACAAGTTAGGGAAGAAGACCTTCCTGTCTTGGAAATCTGTTGGAATTGACCGTAAGTTTCAGAGTTGAGCTCAGCTTGTCTGCAGCTTGGGGTTTGGCAGCCCTGGATTGCAGGGTGTCTCTGCAGAAAGATTTTTGGGCTGCTAGCTCTCTGCTGTGGTCAGAGGAAGTGTCTCTTTCACAAAAAAAAAAAGCTTGGAATTGCAGTCTAACTGTCATTTGTGGGATGCTTTTTCACAATTCAGTCTCCCTGGGAGGAATTTTTCCTACTGCTGCCCCAAAGTTTGAGCCACCTGGCATTTAGCTCCATGCCCTTTCTTGTGGGATTGTTTTTCCCCTGCTGACAGGAGCTGGAAGGAGGGCCTCTCTTCTCTCTCCATTTCCATTGCTCTTGGGCTTCCCATGGGAAAGAAACCACCTGTGGACTCAGGCAGGGATGGGTCTGCAATGGAATTCATGGTGCTGCAGGAGAGATTTGTTCCTGGCTCCTGATACTCTCCTGTGTGGCCTGGGCAATGCTGATTTCTCCCTTTTCAGGGAAGGGTGTCAGGGCTTTGCCAGAGCACACAGGCAGCTGGTGCATCACTCTCTTTCTCTTCAAGAGTTGTTCCCTTTGTACTGCTGCTAATTTGGGCTGCAGTGCTTTTGTGTCAGAGGTAATTCATGTGTGTGAACTGGGCGTGCAAAAGCGTTTGGAGGTGACCCAGTGTCTCTGGGGCTTTATTCCTCCATGTACTTGCCTGTTCATGTGGTGAAAGGTGCATCCCAGCTGAGACCTTTCTGCATGACAGCCATGGTTTAAACTTTCTTCGCCTTGCATCGCGGGAAATAAGCGTTTCAAGAACCACTGACATTCCATATGCACTCAGGCTTGCTTCCAAGGCAATTTCCAGACTGTCATCCCTCATCTCTGCCTTGAATCTGCTGTTACACTGCTTCTCTTCCAGTTCTATCCTGCAATCTTGCTGATGGGGCAAGCTTGCTGTTTGGGAATTGCACAACGGCTGGATCAAAAGGCTGACCAAAGGCTGTGGGATGATTTGGCTGGCTGAACTGCTGCGTCTCCAGCAGAACTGCCATAAATACTCAGGGATTGTGTGCAGGGCTTGGGCAGGAGACAGCACAGGTGAGCTGTCCTGGGTTAGTGTTTGCAGAGAGCAGCCTGGGCTCTGATGTGGTTCACCACCGGGGCACCTGATCTTGCAGCTCCTTTGTATCCTGCTTTTGCTGCTGCAGAAAGTGGTGAATCTGCACGTTTTTGGGCTGAGTTGCTCTGCCAGTTACTTGGCTTTGGTTTCTGTTAATGGCTGTGTTTGGCTGTTGTCACAGCAGCTGCTGATTTTCCAGACACCAGACTCAGCAGAGATGGCATCTGTCTCTAGGTTAGGGCAGCAGGAAGACGTGTTACAGTAAGAATACTCCTGGAACTAGGCTGGTGCACATATTCCCTTCTGGGACGAAAAGAAGGAAAATGTTTTTTTTTTCTCTCATGTTTCTACTACGCAAGGACAAACAAGTCAGAGTGAGCTGCTGTTAATCTCTCCCTCAGGGCTTTTCTAATTGCTTGTGTGGTTTGTCACTGTTCGTTGCACTAATGCAAGGCTGGAACCTGAAAGACTTACTTATGCCAACTTCTGAGGAAGGTAATGGCAAGTTTTTCCAGACAAGGCAAGAAACTGTGTGGAAATCTCGAGGGCTTGCTCTGAGAAACAGAATCTGCTTCAGAGATGACCCTTAGCAGACCACTTACTGCTGTTAGTCTGTGATTTTATTTGCCTTTGCAGTCAGCATGGACTAAGAGTAATAGGTGAGCCCCAGAGTGTGCCCCAAGTCCTTAAGTATCTCGAATCCATCTTCAGGGAGCTCACCTTCCCAATGTCCTACTTGGAACAAACTTGTGAGATAGCAGCTGTCAATAAAATGATTGCCAAATGCTGTCAAGTGCAGAGACTTGAGTGTGAAGCACCTTTTGAGCAGGATCAGCAGGTCTGTCACAACATCTGCTGGACAGAGCTGCCTATCTCCTTCTTGCCTGGTAATCACGAGTTGCATCTGGAGCTTGCCCGTGTACGGGGCCAAGGCGTGCTTCATCTTGCTTACCTCTAGTCAGTGTGATCAGAGCTGGGCTTGCAGCTGATTCATCTCCAAACTTATTTGCATTCCCTTTTGGTGGGATGACCTGAATGCAGTCCCTCTCAGAGACACAAAGAACTTCCAATGAGTTATTTCAGCCCAGTGCAGAGAAGGGCTTTTGCCACCAGTATTCTGAGGGTTTAAGACCAAAGTAAGTTGAAGTAAATATTGCAAGTCCTTGTTCAGAATCCAGTTGATAAAGCTAGTTAAAGATATTTTTTTGTGTGTGGGATTGCAGTAGTGTAAAGTAAATAATTTACATCCACAGAATTAGCAGGGAATGCAATGAACCTTGAGTTTAGTGCTGCAGCCCCTGTCCTCATGTTACCTGCTAGGTAAAAGCCCAGCTGATCTTCTCCCTTCTCATGGTGGGAAAAGGCTCTCTGAAGCAACAGGACACTGTCCTGTTCATTAAGTGGAGAGGGAGGGATAGGTATGCCAGGGAAAGCTTTCCATATTCATACTCTGAACAGCCCTCTGCCCCAAGCACAGCCTGGACATGTTACCTGCCCTCCTGGTTCCTCTCTGGTGTGTGGACACCTGGGCCCAGGGAAAAGCCACCTTCCTGGGGCCTGTCGCCGTGCTGGGCTGTCAGTTCCTCTTTATTTAAAATTGCTGGAGGAGCTGTGATAGTGTTTCTGATGGTACAGGAGTTGTGAACAGCCCCAGCAGCTCTCTGAGGAACGTGTGCTGCAGAGTTTGCAGGTGCTGTGTGCTCCATCTGTGGGCCTTGCTGTTCCACCAGCTCCCACAAACGTGGAAATAACAGGCACTCTTTGGAAACAAACTCGGTGTGCTCACACATCACTGCGAGGCAGGACATGAAACCTTTGTAATCGTTAGTGCACGAGGAAGAATTTGTACACTTCCATGCAGTCGTTCCCCATGGTTAACCACCTCTGCTGGTGGGAATTGCTTGCTTGAATTACAGTCTGAGTCGTCTTCAAATGGTGGGGGGAAGAGTGTTTCATTCTCGATGGCCTTGAAATGCATTTCAATTAATTCTGTCGTTGTTCAGCCCTCCACAGCCCGAGCTGCAGCTGGCTTTGTCTCCATGGCTCCTTGCTTGTTGGCAGAGGTTCTCTTCATCTCCTTCCCTTCTCCTCTCAGCAAAGACGTGGTGCAAAGCTGTTGTGTTTCTAGAAATGTTAGCCATCCTGTAGGTGTTTGGAGACTGGAAAAGTGTCTGAAGCAGCATGAGTGGAAGCCAGGGTGCAGGGAGAACCAAGTGTAGCCCAGCTAGAGTAGCCTGCAGCATTGGTGCATGGGGAGGGTGTTCTGTTTGCTTCCTCCTCATGGCTGCTGCAGAGGTGCAAAGTGCGAGCTGTGCTGGGGCAGCGTTATTAAGGTCATGTGAGACTGACTAATTAATTTCCTCCGGGTCTTTAAAGAAGCAAGTTACGAGCAACCCGGTAACTTGACAAAATGTTTCTCTCAGAAAATGATGTATGGATCATTAATAAACCTACACAAGGATGCAGTGGGTAGCACAATTATGGGGTGTTACCCTGCCACGTGCCACCTGCATTTTACAGAGATGTTAAATGTTTTTTTTTTTCCCATTGTGATCTTTATTCTAGAGAGCAGCTCAGTTCTCTTCTGAGGAATTATAACTCTTACTATTCAGACCAAGAGAATCTGCAACTGACATATAATCAGGTGAGGATTTAGGGGTGAGAAACTCCACTAATCTGGACATCACAAATTATTGCTCTCTTCTCCTCACAGCTCCACTTGCTGTGGTGTTGCTATTGCACGACATGTTCCATCTAATGTAATAAATGAAGAGTGTAAAAATGTAATCGATTATTATTAGTTGATTGTTTTTACTCCATTATTATGCAGCACTGACTATTTCCCTGTGTTTCTCCAGCGGGAAGGAAGCGCCCCATTCATTGAAGGAATCCTCTCGATATTCTGGGGCGTGCGACATCCGATCCGATTAAAGATTCAGGATGAGAAGCAGATCCCCTCTTTTGTAACCCTGAAGTCAACGGAGAACGTGGGGCTTTTCCCTAGCAAAAGGTAATGTGTGCACTTCCCTAGGGAGGCTGGCATCGCAGGATAGCTCGTGTTGTGCCTTCAGTGGTTGTGGCTGGCTGCACTGCATATCCCAGATTTCCCAAAGGCCGTGGTGGTTGCTGGACAGCAGAGCCTTTCAGCAGCTTCTGCTGGGCTGGTGGAGGGTGTGTGTTTGTAGCACCTGTGTTTGGCCTCAGCCTGAGGAGCTGGAGGAGGCTGCTCTTTTTCATGGGAACTGACCATTCCTGTGCAAGGACTGGGAAATTGATGTGTGTAGAAATATAGGAAAGGACCCAAACAACCCCCCCGTGTTTCCATGTGCACTGACACTGGTAGCCCCTGAGAGGCCTCGTGTTGGTGCGCACACTAGAGCATGAAGCCAGAATCTGGTAGGTAAGTGCTGAGGGATTGTCTGTCCCAGCTTACATTCCCAGCTGTGTGAGCTCTGGAGCCGTTGCTGCTCAGGTGAAGTTCAAGTCAAGGAATGGACAGTGGCTTTGTCTGTGCAAAATTTGGTGTAAAAACCCCTTAAAATGCCCACAGACCAGCTGTTCCAGCTGCTGCCCATGGCATTTTATACCCCAGTGTGTTGTGCTCAGTGATACAGGTACTCAGTGTACTTATCCTTTGTTTTGAACACTGTTTCCCCAACTTTGGTTGGTGAATTTGATGAGCTGAATCTTGTAATACAGAGGCAGAGCCAATGTTCACCCTGAATGACTCCCTGATGAATTGAGTATTGCAGAGTTTATTTTTCTAATGACTTATTGTCTTAGGTTGCATGTGGGACATGTTGGAACTGAACTGGGATTTAATTCTGCCACCTTTGCAGCTGTGGAGTTCCAGTAAAGTCTTCTTCCCCATTTCTGGCTGCTGAAAATCAGGGATGAATTTTGACAGGAGTAACTAGGAAAGAACCTGCATTTTGGGCAGATCTGGCTCTCCATTTACCTTGACCAGGTCTGCTGGTGCGGCCTGCAGGGCAGTTCTTAAAAAACTTCTGGCTGGTGGAAATCTGTATGCTAAAGTAAACATTCCCTCATGATCCCAGAAACGTGGGGCTGCCCTGACATGCTTGAAGGTATGCAGAGCAGCTTGGCTGTCTGATCTTAAATGAACTTGGTAAATGTGTGGAATACAACCAAGATCTTGTTTGGCGTGTAAATTGGGGGTAGCTGAATATTGTTGGGCATACATAATATACATATACATTTGAAATTCATTGTTAATATTGCACTACAAATTGGTTTATTCTCAGTCAGAGCAGTAACTGGATGAAGACCTTAGGCTGAAGAGTTCAGGCAATGATTTCTGGAAATGTTGACATGAATGCAGGTTTTCTGAAAGGCTGGATGGAGCTTGCTGCTCTCATACACATCTGGTTAGGGCAGCACAGGGGGCTGTGTGTAACTCAACCTGTGTAACAGACCTGTGCTCTGTAACTATTTAACAACAATTTGTGTGTTTTGCGTGCCTGCCTGGTAGTCTGAGTGTGATTAATCCAGGATGTTGCTGTAAAACAGATCAGGAATTACTGCAAGCTGTTTAAGTTACGTCCTGGTTGATGTTCAACAGGTTTTAAATTGGATGTGTAGCATGTGGGATCCCTGGTCATACCGTATTTTAATATGATTTTGTTATGACTTAAACTAAAATTACCATGCTGAAGTCTGTAAGCTGAGCAGGGATAGGAATGTGTGACATGAAGCCTGGCCACAGGATAAACTGAAATCACTGAGTTAATGAGGAGCAGTGAATGATAACTACGTGTTTGTTCTTCCAGGGGAATGACTCGCTGGGGAGAGTTTGATGACCTCCATCACATCAGCGGGGACACCCTGAAATCTCCTGAGGAACAGCCAGACCTCGAGCAAAGTTAGTGTCGGTGCTCTCGGGTTAACCAAGAATTCTGTGTTCTGTGACAGTGCAAAAGGCCTCTCACACCTCCGGCCTCCCCTGCCAGCAAAGGGAAATCTCTTTATTCTGTGCAGCGTGTACTGCGAGCTGGGGAAACACCAGCCTGGCGCTGCTTAGGGCTGTGCAGGTGACTTGGTGAGCAGCCAGTGGGATTGAGCTGTGCTTTCATCCAAGGAATCATTCCCAAGGGAGCAAAGCAGCAAACTGCAACCGCTGCAATCAGCCTATTCTTCACTGTATTTCTGTGCCGTGCTCCTTTCCTGCTCCACCCCCTCACAAAAATAATAAATAGTACATGAAGCCCTTCACAGAGAGCCTCCTTCCCCTGGGGGGGCTGGCAGGGAGCGGCCAGCAGCTGCACACGATGTGTGGTTCTCTTCTGCCCAGGTTATCCGTGCTGTGGAAGTCACACGCTGAAGGCCAGGAGGGAGCAGGAGCTGGACTGTGCCACCCTGCCCCGCACCAGCAGCGACGCCGCGGCCGTGCGCAGGCGGACCAAGCTCCCCACCATAACCAGGACAGAAGTGGAAACTCACAGGTTCTCCATCAATGGCCACTTCTACAACCACGAGGTAGGACGTTTTGGGCTTGGCTTTGTCGCCTGGGGGACAGGGAGCCCTGTCCAGTGAGTTGTGCCTCACGCTGCGGCGTGGCTCTTCTCGTTCCCAGACATCGGTGTTCACTCCGGCTTTTGGGTCGGAAACCAAAATAAGAATCAACAGCCAGATGAGGACCAGACAAGTGATAGAACAGTTGCTCCGGAAGTTTAAGGTGAGTCTGCTGGCAGGAGGAGGCGTGGCTGTATTCTGGAAATGTTCATTCCAATGTGCACTCCAGATGGGGAATAGCTGGGTGAGGATAGTGCATGGAGCAGAGTGGAAAAAAACCCACCCAGATGGGCAACTTTAAATGTCTGGGATGGGCTTTCTCTGAGAGCCAGGCATATGGAAAGATGGGAGGGTTCGAGCTAAAAGCACTGCTCAAGGGCAGTGCCATGCTGTCTGAAACTATTTGTTTTTTTTTTATTTCCTTGGAACCATCTCCCACTGGCAACGTCGTATGTGGTCAGAAGTCGCTTTGCCCTTCCTGCTGCATATTTCTCAAATATCTTGATTTTGCATGGCTGCTTAGTGTTTAATTTATACTGTAATGTTCTCAAACTTCCCATTTATCTTTTCTAGAGAGTTCGCTGTTGCAGAATTACTTTGTGTGGTTAGTAAGACTTGTGAGTGTCTTGGAAGGAAAACTTAACTTCTAGGAGTAATAAGGAAGGGAATTACAGAGCAGGGAGTAAAGTTGTAGGGAATAAATTGCAAAGTAAGTGCTCAAAAGCTCTGCTGTTTTCTGAATGTGGCTGTCAGGCACGAGGGTAGGTCACAGAGGTTTGCCTTGATGGCAGCACAGATAGCAGATCTGCATGTGATCTGAGAGAAGTGAGCCAGAGGAAGCAGTGAAGGATGCTGCAAGGAAAGCAGGCAGCAAAGATCTGGGCTTCCAGTGTGTTACTGATTTGGGCAGCATGGGAACACAAGGGTTGGGCTGGCACAGGGACAGTGAACATGGCAGCACAGCTTTCTGCCTTCTCCAGATCCAGTATCTGTAACTCTCGTACGGACAGGATCCCTGTCTCAGGCTTTGATCCAAACCTCTGAGCTGAGACAGGGAAAATGTGCTGAGAGGGAAGTGCTGGGAAGGTCTGTGAGTCTGAATGGATTTTGTTGGGTTTTTTTTCCACAGATAGAAAACAGCCCCCACGAATTTGCACTTTACGTTATCCATGCGTCTGGAGGTAAGCCAGCCACTGCTGCCTGATCACTTCAGCTCTAATCACTCTGTGTGTGTGTGGAATGTGTCCCTTGGGGTAACAGGACTTGTCCCAGGCCTCTGTGTGTGTGCTGTGGCATTTTGCCTTCTCGGGGACCCTTCAGAGATCCTGAAGGATCCTGTCCTCTGAAGAGGAAAACTGAATGATTGTATTGTGGGCCCTTTCTCCTGACAGCTTTGGATATGCTGAGTTCAAAGTACTCACTGATCAGTGGGAAAAGGTTACTTCCACAGCAGCTTACTCCTGCTTTTCCAGGAAAAGGCAGATTTGATCTTTAGTAAAGGGAACACCTGAGAGAACGGGAGGGAGCTGGGGGAGAAGGTATTTTAAATGGCACAATATTAGGGATCTGTTAGGGATCTGGTGGTTGCACTCGAGTCAGTATGGGATCCGTGTCAGGAGAAAAGGCTCGTGACTTCAGGAGGTAGATGGAGCCCCCGTGGGATGTTCTGTGTTTTATGACCCTGCTGATAAATTCCAGAAAAGAAGCAGCTGAGGAGTAGAGATGTTCCCTTGCTGCACAGGCTGCTGCAGGGGCCCTCTGAGAAGGCTGCCAAGTTCTTTCTCATGGATGGGGACGTGGAAGAGGTCAGCAGTGATGTAAGTGTATCCTCACTTCTCACAGTTCATGGAGTTTTCCTCAGTGACCACAGCTGGCAGTGCCTTTCTTGTCTTCTCCTTGTTAGGTTGCTCAGTACATTTCATTTCATCTTCCCTTTTTGGAATCCATTCTGCACAGAATAAATGAAGAGGAGGAGCAGGAGATTCAGCAGACAACTGCAAGGTACACAGACACAAAATGAGGTGTCACAGAGCCCAGGGCAATCTGTACAATTGGCTCATGAGGAGGACGTGCAGATGTAGCAGGGTGCAGGCAGAACACTGTGATGGGGAGGCTGAAGGGATGGGGAGGGTTTGTAATCCTTTCCCTATCCTGCTGCTCATAAAGATTCCATCATTAATACAGACTACACACAGAGTGGGGTCTTAAAAAAAATTTGGACCCCCAGGGTAACTTCTCTTTATTTTGTTTGCTGTTTGCTTTCTGGGCCTTTGGCTGGCTCAGCTTGTACTTGCTGCTGTTCCCTTGGGAAGGGTAAATGCAGTACCACACTTGGTGCCATTTTGGTTCTGTGGCATTTAGGCCACATCAGTGCCAGATGTCCCCTCAAAACTTGAGGTGAGCGACGGAATCCCCCTGGCAGCAGCTCAAAATTCCCCACAGGTACAAGCCAGAGGAGCTCCCATATTTGTGAGCCTCTCCTAGGTCCAGGAGCACTGAGAGGCTACAGCAGCACAGATCTGTTACTGCATGGTGGGCTGATCATCGTGTTGAATCCAAGTGTCCAGGAAACGTTTAGAAAATAATAGAAAATAAAATTTCCCTGTGTTGGGAAAGTTGGACACGGACACGAAAGCTGGGGATGGACACACACGTGTCCAGCTCGCTGGAATTAGGGCTGGAAGGTTGCAGAGGTTATTTAGATGCCTTCTCCCTGTCAGGTACATCAGAGAGAAGAGGCTGATACAGCAGCACCTTCGCAGTCGAAGTGTGAAGAAAACAGAGACCACGGTGTGATGGGACAACGCCGGGAATGCCGGAGGGCTGTCCTTGCTGCCTGCTGGGGCTGGGACTGAGCAGGGCTGCAGCCTCCCGGAGTGCCCAGTGGGACAAGGCTCTCCTCACCATTAACTCCTGCAGCGCTGGGGTGCAGGCTGGAAGCAGCCGCGGAGATGCACTACATCAGATGCTGGGTCTGACTTGGAACATGGGAAAAACTCCCCTGAAGAGCCCAAGGCTTTGAATCCTGCTGATGTGGGACCTGGCACCAAGAGGCTGGCATAGAAAAATAACCAATGTGCTGGTAGAAAATACGCAGACTAGGAATATGGTTATCCCTGTGTTAAAGAAATATTGCATTATATTAGCAGGAAGCTTTTCAGTAGAGCCAAGTGGCAGAAGATATTTATGTATTTAAGACTGCAGGTAGAATTTCCATTTAAGTTATGAAATATCTATGCAAGATGCCTGAGATCCACTGGCTTCAGGCTGGTGGGTGCTGAAACTGCTTAAACTTTGAGCTGCTGTTAGGAAAACATAACTGGAAACTCTCCCCCTTAGGAGCTGCTCAGCTCTTAGCAATGACAGGGAATCTACTGCTGAAATACCTCGTGAACTGCAAGGCAAGAACTGACTGAACACTGTTGGGTCCTGAAAGGCATCTCAGTGGTTTCTGTAGCTGGAATAAGTGGTGGTGTTCCTTCCTGAGTGTTCTGTTTGAGGGGTGCTCAGTGAGAGGCTGTGTCACAGCCACGGAGGGCTGGGCCCACGGCCTCCCCAGGGATGCAGTTTGGCTCCAGCCCAGCCCCACGCAGGGCACAGCAGCCAGCTCCTTCCTGCCTGAGCGTGTTCAGTGTCAGAGCCCCAGCTGCAGAGATGTAAATAAAATAGATAAAATAAAATAAAACACACAGCTCCGTGTCCTCCTCAGTAGCTGGTGCTTTTTACCTGGTGTCTGCGCCTCACCTCAGCTGCCTTTGTCTCATGCAGGTAAGAGGCACTTGTGAGGGAGGAAAGGGATGTGCAGAACATCCTAGAAATTGTGTGGAGTACATCAAATTGTAAAAGTTCACACTGCTGGGATGTGAATTCAGAAAGGGAAGGTCAGGGTGCTGATAGTGAAGCTGCTCAGGCTGCAGCAAGTGCGTTATTTCAAAGGACAGTTTGTAATCCTGCCCAGGAAAATGGTTAGGGACAGGGGAGCACAGAGGGCAGAAATAAAAACCATTCACAGCTAAGAGGTAGGAATTGAAGAGGCCGTTTTTGTCACCATCTGATGTTCAAGACTTGAATCCTTTTCAGCTGTCTTGCTGAATTGGGACTGCAAACTTCTGGCAGGCAGCTCAGGGACAGGACACAGGCCTGGTGCTGTTGGCCAGGGTTTCAGGGTGAGGGAAATGAAGCTGTCACTCCTGTGGGGTTGGTTCTTTCTGTGCTGTCTGAATGAACTGTTCCTGACAAATTCCTGACAAACAGAGGAAGAATTTCTTCCAAGCTGTTCTGGTTCGGACACGAAGCCATTAGCCACAGAAACGGTGATTACAGTCTGTATCTCACCTGAATTTGCACATCTGATCTCATTTGCACTTACGCTTCATAAGCCTAGGGGTTAAAATGCCTTTCTTTGGTTTGTTCTGTGACTATTTGGGATAATACAGTAACATTTCACGCCAGAAGATGGTGGCTGCAGCTAAATCCTGAATTTCCATCAAAACTCCATCACACGCGCTAATTAATGGGCACGAGAGCAGGAGGCTGCCTTCGGCCGGGTTCGGCTCTGTTCGGAGCAACTCGGAGCCGCTCGCAGCAGTTCTGGTGGGAAGAATCAGTATAATCCTTTGGGGAATGTGCTGTTCAGACACATCCAGGGGTGAAGAAAAAATTAATAATAGAATTCTTTCTATTGTAACATTTCAAGCCAAGACTTGGGGAAAAAACATAATAAAAGCTTACGGGTCAGGGATGGTTTGTTGAGGAATACAGTAAAGAGAGAAGTAGGGAAGATGGGATTTACTGCAAGGTCAAGAGGACCAGGCGGTTCTGGGGTATGAAGTTCAGCGGGCTGAGACAGCACAGGGAAGGCAAGAGGGAAACAGAGGCAGGGAAATCAACAGGGAAATGCTTTGGCCTAAAACTCCATCACACGCGCTCAGTAATGGGCACGAGAGCAGGAGGCTGCGTTCGGCCGAGCTCGGCTCGCTTCGGCTCGCGGGATGGGCAGGAGATCATTAGGCTGTGGCTGCACTCGCGCTAATTAATGGGCACGAGAGCAGCAGCCCGGGTTCGGCCGGGCTCGGCTCGGTTCGGCCGTACTCGGAGCCGCTCGCTGCATTCGAGTCTCAGCTCGGTTCGCTTCGACCGGCCTCGTAAAGTTCACCGTGGTTCGGCTTGTCTAGTTCCGTTCCGTTCAGTTAACCTCGGCTAAACTCGGATCGATTCGGCAAATCTCGGCCAGGTTCGGCCCTTCGTGAACGCTCGTGCATTATCGGCCACACTCGGCTATTGTCGGCCGCGCTCGGCCAGATTCGGCCAATCCCGAGGTGCACCGCGGTGCAATGGCGGCCTGCGGCAGGAGCGCGCTGCGCGGCCTGAGCGCCGTGAGGGGACGGAGGGCTGGAGCAGCCGCCCCATCCCGGCTCACCCGCTCCCTTGTCCACCGGGGATCGCCCCATCGTGCCGTGCTGTGCCAGGAGCGGCGAGGATGGCCTTGGCTCGGTGCCTTCAGGTGAGGCCCGGAGCGGAGGGAGCTGCGGGGACGCGTTTGTGCCGGGACCGCGGCTCTCTGGGATCCTGTTCCCTGGGATCCTGTCCCCTGGGATCCTGTTCCCTGGGATAGAGCTCGCCCTTTAGAATTTGTAAAGGTTTGTTAAGGGATGAAATGCAGCGTGGGGTGCTTGGCTGTAAACCGTGTTCTCTGTGTTCTGTTACATTACAGGGGGTTCGTGCATATTCATGAGTTTATACGCATTCAAACAGTTCCTTTGAGTTTAGATGTTCTTTTGCTCGGTTTTAACCTTTCACTTGTCTTCGTGCCACCGTGTAGATTAAGCCAATATATTTTATTTCTCCCTGTGGTGCCGCCCTGTTTTGTTTTCACTCCCTCGTTATTTGATAACGAGGGTCAATAATTTTTTTTTTTTCGGTGCTCTGGTTTCTGTTTCAGTTACCTTGTGTTTCAGATAAGGCAGTCCCCGAATGGGGGAAAGCACCTGATTATTTTACACCACTTTCTGAGTTACTTACACGTGAAAGCAGTTTAACATTTTACAGTCTATTATGCTACAGTCTGAAAGCAGGATCTGTTACACTGCTGTTTATAAAAGGTATACAACGCATACATAAACTGGCAGATTATTCTTTATCAAGAGCAGTAATTACAGACGGTACTCTCTCAGGATTTCTGTGCAGTAACAACTTGCCAGAGCTGATGCATAAATGCCAAAGGCAATAACTATATTTGTTATTTGTAATTCTGGGCTGAGCTCCGTTTTCCAGGAAATGGGTGTCCCTGTGCCCACCCCGTGGGTCCCAGAGAGAAACTGCTCCTGTGCCTGAGGGCCAGTGGGAAAACCGGAACAGTCCTGATGGAAACCGGTAGAAAAACTGGTTTGGCTGGGTTTTGGAGTTGGTGTTTTCCCCCTGACCCCGCCTGATCCCTGTGTTTTGCCTTGGGAAACGGGAACTGGGGACCAAGAGGCTTTGTTACCCTAGAAGGGACGAGTTTCTTTGATTGAACTCCTGACCCGCCTGGGATGATTTGGGTCTCAGGAGGCACCTGAGAGCCAAACTCATTTCCTGTCAGGAGTCCCTGAGGAATGAGGACACTGAGCTGCAGTGGCTGTTGTCTGGTCAGGCTCCTGGGCTCCCATGTCTCCCAGCTCTGGGCACCCTCAAGGCAGGGCTGCTTTTTAAATGTTTTAGATGCTGCAGCAGCAGCAGCTCCCTCCCTAGTGTGAGGATATCCAGCTCTTCCTTCGGGCTTGGAGCATGGCAGGGTGCAGAGCTCCTGGTCAGTCTTGTTTAAACACTTTTAATACCAAAACACTTGAAACCAGAGACTTTGAGGAAATAGCCTGTGAAAGTCTGTTGCAAGTGTTAGGTACAAGCTGTCTTTGTGAGAGATCCACATTGGTGGGTGCTTTGTCAAACCACTCTGGGGCCAGAATGTGTCCAAAAATCTTCATTAACCCCTTGTGTTCTGCTGGCAGGGCAGCGTCTGAGCCCAGCTCTGGGGGCTGTGTGGGGATTCCTCCCTGGAGCAGGGCCACCCCAGGGGGATGAGCCACGGAGCCGTTGGGCCAGGTGAGGATCTCTTTCTGCTTGGTGGCTCTTGGTGGTGGCTTTAATGTCAGTGTTCCTTCTGAGCATTGATCCTGCAGCTGGATAGTTCAGCTGACAGGGGTTGGGGTCAGCTCTTGGGCCCAGAACAGGCTTTGTCCCACAAAGAGCCCCTGAGCTTCCTGAGCTGGCACCCAGGTGATGCTCTGGAATTTGGGCTAATAGTGTTGCCAGGTGATTACTGTGAGGTTGAACTGAAGCTTTGTTAGCAAAGCCATCAGGTGGAATGGAAATCTATGGAAAACAGGTGGTTGGTACACTAGCTGAGAGTAGGCCTTGGGCTTTTCTTCTTCTTTTCTTTAACCTGTTCTTAAGAGATCCCCAAAACTGCAAAATTTAAAGTTGGGGTGGGGGGGAACGTGGGGGTGAAAGTTGCTTTTCATTTTTTGAGAATTGCTGTGCATTTTGGTATGTCAAGTGACACTACCAAAACAGAATTGGACTACCTGAACTTCAGGACTCTGCAGTTGATTCTTTTAATGTGTTTGTGTGGGTGCAGGAATGCCAAATCCCAAAGCAATTCTACGTCTGTGACTTCAAGTGCAACACCTTTAAATCTCAGTGTGGGCTTTTCACGTGGATGCAAATGGTCTAAAGGCCTTTTTTGTGTCCCAAAAGCAAAAAACCTTTCCCTGTGGGGTTTTGGAGGGGTTTCTCTTTGGGATTTCTTGTCATGCAGCATCCCGGGTGTCCCTTCCTTTGTGCAGAGTCCAGTGGTAAAGGATTGAATAACTGACAGGTGGGGTGTGGGATGGAAATGGTTCTGTTAAAATTAGACAAAGAATGCAGTAAGAAGAATGAGCATCCTTTTAATGTCTGAAATAGTCAGGAACAAAAATGCTGGGAAAGGGCACTTGTATGTTTGAATTGGTGTCACCTCTCATGGAAAAAACCCCATAGTGAGCAGTCAGAGCAGAAATATGAAAGCTGGGATCCTTTGACTTCTGCAGTGGACTTCATTTTCTTTTCCTCCTCTCTTTCAGGACAGGAAAAATCATCAAACTCTGCACATGCTTGCCAAAAGCTTCGGTGTTTAAGAGGCTTCAGCACCAGGGATCTTTGCTGGAGGGCTCCTGGTCCTGCCCGTGCTGTGGGGTAAGTCAGAGTGACACAGCAGCGTTCCTCTTTTCCTGGAATGAGCTGCCTAGGGAATGCCATTTCTGACAGCCCAGCCCTACCTGTGTCTGCTGGAAGAGGGCAGAGGGGAAGAGGCAAATGCCAGAGTTTCCTGGGATGTTGGAGTTGTGGTGCTTGGCTGTGCAGAGGGGCAGGCTGGGCACTGTTTGTGCCCCTAAGGACTGCTCTGGGCCTCCAGGAGCTCTGTGTGTATTCCCAGCTCTGCCAAGGGGGCAGCTCACGCAGGGTGGGTTGGGCACAGATGCAGGGGAGGGCTGGCAGGATTTGGGAGCAATGGGAGGAAATGAGGGCTGGTGCTGGGCAGTGATCAGCCTGTGCTCGTGTCAGCACAGCCGTGCAGGGATCTGGGAACAGCCCCGGCTCTCCTGGTGCTCAGGGATAGGGTCTGAGGGACTGCCTTTATCTGTGGCTGTCCAGGGCAGCAGGAACAAGGGGGAATGTGGTGCCAGAGCTGTGTCCCGTCAGGCTGTCCTGCCCTCTGAGCACAGAGTCTCTGGGCTGAGCAGCTGGGTTTTCTGCAAGTGCTTAGGTGAGCAATCCAGGGAAAACGGAGTTCAGGAATTGCATCCACTGCTGGAAACGTTACCTTAGGTCTGCTTAGTTTGTGTCTGTGAGACGTGGGATTTGGGCTGGAGAGGTGCTGTTGGAAACAAAAGATGGAGTAAATCCTTTCCAGGGATGTGCAGTGAAGGACTGGGTGGGAGGGAAGGGGAGTATTTATAAATGATATCAATATTTCTCCAGAAATTGGGGTGGAGCAGTGATGGGGGTGGTTGGGTTTGGTCTGGGCCTTGTTATTCCTTAAGCAATTTCTAAATTGTGCTGTATGAATTACTGTCAAGTATCTTTCCAGTGAAAACTGACAGAAATTTAGATCAAGGATTAGAACTTAGGTCCTTTCACTGCAAAATCTTGCTGAGGCTGGAGGGCTGGGGTGGTGACTGCTCTCAGCAAAAGTTACTTATTAATACCGTGTCAGATGTCCCTCAGTGCTGGGCAGGAGAGGGGAGGGTTGGATCAGGAATTGTGCAAACAAGGCCTGTGTGACGGTTCATTTATTGTGCTTTTCAGGGAGCCAGGGCTGGCACAAGGACTCGTGCAGGTCCTGGTCTGGCACCGGAGCTGTGCCCTTTGGAGCCTTTGTAAAGGTGTCAGTGTAGAACATTTTGGGGGCTGTTTTCAGAATTCTGGGTTTTGGAATTCCTGTCCCCAGCCTGTTGCTAACCCTGTTGATCTGCTCTGGTTCCAGGCTGTCCCTGCTGTGCCCAAGGCCTGAGACACAGAGAGCCCTGTCCAAAGTGGCCTTTGCCAGCTTGTCAGGAACGTGGCAGCAGCCCCGGGAGCAGGCTGGAGGTGAGAGCAGGGTGTTGGGAACTGGGGAGTGTGTATCTGGGCTGGGGGGAAGGGGGAGGAGTTGGCCCCACATGCTGAGTTGAAGCAGGATCAGGGTGACAGACGCTGTGTTTTGTACACCCTGAGAGTTTCCATCCCCCCTGGAGATTCCCTGCTGATGGAATGAGGCAGCCCAGGGAGCAGAATTAAGTGTGCACCCCCCATGGGCATTGCTGGCCTTGGTGTCTCTGTTGTGCCATCAGACCGTGGCAGTTTGCTGCTATCACTGCCACTGCCACCCCACCTGGGGGCTGTGTCCTCCTGGCAGCCCTTGCCAGCCCCAACACCAGCTCCAGGGGTGCCTTTGTGCCGTGCTGGGAGCGTTCGCTGGGAATGGGCCTCATCCCTGGAGTGTCCTTCTGTCCCTGGGCTGCAGACAGAGCTTGGGGCTGGTCAGGCTCAGAGCTGGTGGCAGAAGTCCCTGAGGACTGGGGTGGGTTTGCACTGCAGGGAGTGAATGCCCCCTCCCAAATCAGCCCAACAGATCCCAGAGGCTCTTACAGAAATATTTTATTTACTTCTCTTCATGATAATTTCATTTCCACCCTGCCATGAGCTGTTCCTTGATTTCTCTAGGAGAAAACCTCACAGCAGAGGCAGTTTGCAGTGGAGGCCAGAGTTGTGTTTGGAGCAGAGAATGCTGAGAGCTGCCACAGCCTGACCACAGCCACATGGAACAGCCTGGGAAAAGGGGATGGGGGAAATTCCTGATTCCCCAGTGAGAACACGAACTCACAGCCATTGAGGCCTGACAGTCCCCTCCAGCAAGAGCTCAGCACACATCCACAGAGGTAAGTCCAGCATCTGAAAGAAAACAAAACATAAGGAAAAGGTGATTTATTTTGCTTCCAAGTTATTTCAAGTTCTTAAAGCTCAGCCAACACTTGCTTTTGGCTGGGTGAATCATGAGCAGTGGGCACAGATTATGCCACTGATTTAGCTGAAAGCCTGGTGTACTTTAGAGGGGACACAAGAACTGTTTGTGTAGGAAAGTGTGAGGGGCTGTCAGGGGGAGTGAGGTGGCATTTTTGAGGGAATTGCTAAGGTCATTGCTCACTGTGTCCTCCCTTCCTTGGCAGCAGCTGGAGGGAAGAGAGAAGAGGATCCTTGTGGGATGAGACTGCAGAGAACAAGGAGAGGAGTGGCCTCGGGCTGGAGAAGGGCAAAGGGACCACTGTGCTGTCACCAGGACACCTGTGAGAGACAGAACAGACACTTGGAGGCCACATGGAGGTGAGGAGTGGATGGTTTGGGGCAAATTCTGAGTTTATCCACAGGGAAATAAGCAGGGGATATTTAGGAGGGAAAAGCTGAGGTGAAGAGTTCACCCACCCTGGCACAAGTTGTGTTGGCACAGACTGGGGCCAGAGGTGAAGGTCAATCCAAAGCCAACCCTGCTCAACCTCTAAGCCCCTAAGTTTTACAGGCTGCCCACTGAGGGATTAAAAATACGTATAACAGCTTTAATGAGATCCTGGGAATCCCATTACCCTGTTGTCATGGAACTCCTAACACAGTTTTGAGCTTTCGATGACAATAATGCATTTTTTAATTTGGATTATTCACTGTGTGGGACATGGGGTTTGGATTTCAAAGCCCTCGTGGTGGCCCTGACACTGCTCAGGAGCTGGTAGGAAAAGCAGAGTCAGAACTCCTGGCAGGCACAGGGTGTTTTCCCCCATAATGGTTGTGGAGGAATTGTCTGGGACCTGGATTGTCCCTCTGGGTGATACTGCTTGCTGTGATTTGTATAATTCTGTACATTTAATTCCCAAAACTTCCCAGGCCAGGGGTTTGAGCTGACAGAGCAGGACAAAGATGGTTCTCTGTGTAGTGCCCAGATTTGGGGTTCTCTGTCAGCTTTGCTAGTTCTGATGAATTATACCCATAGCCCCAAATTCCCTGCTCCATTCCTGCTGCAGTAACCTCACAGTGCCTCATGGAGTACAACACTGGGACAAGGACAGGTTTACATTCCATAGAAGTGGCTGTTTATAACCGGACCCCAGTGATGCCCTGGGGTCACTTGACAGAGCTGCCTGGAATTGAGCTGATGTTCCCTCCCCCAGGGCTCCAGTTGATGTTCCAAAGCAGGAGAAGGCAGTGGCTGGATGCACTCCCAGCCCGTGCTGAGGCAGCCCTGTGCCCAGCTGGGGACACCTCTCCCTGCCGAAGCTCAGCTCTTTTCACAGCCTCACCAGTGGCCTCCACAAGTTCTTCTCCCTTCTTTCCCTCAGGAAAGGGACACACATCCCTGTCTTCAGTGCACCTCCAGTGGGACTCACCTGTGACAGCTTTCCATGACTTCTGCACCTGCACCTCAGCTGGCTCCCTGAAAAACTCCAGACCTCATCCCACTCAAACCTCGGATTTTCAGGTATCTCTGAGGGCTGTTGCTTGGGATTTAATGTCTGTGAGGGAAGATTGCCTTGGCTTTAATGCTGCTGATGGGGGATGGCCTCGGGCTGGAGAGGAGAGGAGGGATTTGGGGTGGCCGAGACATACCTGGCAGCTGTGTGGGAGCTCTGGACTGGGAACTGCTGTCTGAGCCCCTCTACGTTTGGCCTGTGCCACCATTCCCAGGTAATGCCAGCTACTCCTTGGAGTCCTTCTGGGCTGGAGCATCTCCATGTCCTGGTCAGAGCAGCCACGGTGCAGGCAGTGCCCTGCAGATCCCAAGGACAAGAGGTGCTGCTGCCTTTCGGGGGCTCCTGGCCTCCCCCTGCCCTGAGGGGACATTGCTGGCAGCGAGCAGGAGACACCAAGGCCTCTGGGCTGGAAAAACAGCCCTGGCCTCAGCAGCCACCATCGATTTGACCTGGCAGCACTCACCTGCAGGAAATGCCCCCTGCCATTCTCCAGAAGAGCTTCAGCCATGGAGCAAGGTAACCCTGGGGACTCATCTTGATTGTTTCTCCCTGCAAAGGGATGTGGTGTGACCACATTTACAGCTGAGCAAATCCTGGAAAGGGCAGAAAAATCAGAGGTATGGGGAAGAGCTTGGTGCTGTCACATCAGGTGCCAGCAGTTCTGCCCTGCAGCCACTGCAGGGGCTGGTGTGTAAAGCAGCCTTAGCAGAAGGGAAGGAGCTGCATTTGTGCAGGAGCTCTCTTACTGGCAGCAGTCACTTGTCATGATCCTGGATTGCCTCAGGTGCTTGGAGCAGGCTGCTGAGAAGGCCACATTTCTGTGTTCCACGTGCAGCTGGGCCAGTTGTTTCTTAGCGTTTGACTTGATGATCCTCGTGGTTCTGGAAATAAAGAATAAATACTTTTCACTGGCTTTTTAACACGAGGGGTTTTTCCATTGGAAACTGGGAGCCACAGGGAAAGAGGGGGAGAGGAAGGAGAGCATCAGGGCTCAGCTGGCAGGTGTTGGTGAGCAGGCAGAGCAGGAGCGAGCCCCGGCAGGGCTGCAGTCCCACCCCGGGCACAGCCGGAGCGGGAGCAGCAGCGGCTGCTCCTGGCGGCCCCGCTGTTCGGCGGGGATCCCCGGCGTGCGGTGGCCGCGGTGCCGGTGGGTCCCAGGCCCGGCACGGGCGCTCTCCGTGTCCTGCCCGCTTCCAGCCGCGATCCAGCGTCTGCTCCAGGGAATCGCTGTCCTGTTGGCGGGCCGGGCAGCGGCATAGCCCCGGTGCCGGCCGCGGCAATGCAGGTCCCGATCCCAGCCCCAACAGCCGCACCCTGCCTGCCGGGGAAGAAGCGGCTCTGCCCGGCTCCCGCAGCTGACGCCGGCAGGACCAGGGCCCGAACCCCCGGGCCCTGATCCCGATCCCGGTCCTACCTGAGCGCGCCGGACACCGCGCAGCGCCGGGAGCAGCCCCGCTCCGGGTCTCCGCAGAGCGCTGCGAGCGCCGGTCCCGCAGCACGCCAGATGAGCATCCCCCGCACAAAGCGCGCCAGGGGCCGGTCCTGCGGCATTTATGGGCGGGGGGAGGCGGGGCCCGGGGGCGGGGCCGGCACAGGTGCGCGGTCCCGCTTTTCTGTTCCACTACACACCTCAACCCTACCCTATTCCTCCATCCTTTCCCTCTTCCTTCCGTCCCCAACCGGGCTCCCCCCTGTCCCCTTTCCCTGCTCCCTTTCGCCCCCCCTCCAGTCTCTCCCCACCTGCCCTCAATCCTGCTCATCCATCCGTTCTTCCTTCCCCCGCCCACCCCGGCTCCATGATACCTGCCCCCTTTCCATGATACCTTCCCCCGTACACCTCTCACCTCCTTCCCCTCAACCTGCCGTCAGTCCGTCCTTTCGTTCCTCCTCCTCTGCTGCCCTGCACACCCCGACCTCTTCCCCACCTGCCCCGTGCTTGTCACCCTTTCCTCGACTTCCCTATTCCCGTTCTCCATCCCCTGAGAGGGGAGGACGGGGAGACAGGAGAGATGTGGGGGTGAGGACGGGAAGGGAGAGAGGTCGGTGTGAGGAGGGAAGCGGGAGAGTAAGGAAAAGGCCGGGGGGGGAGAGGGACGGTGGAGAGAGGGGGAATAGAAGGGAATAGCGGGGAAGAGACAGGACAGGAAGGACTGTGGGGGGGTCGGGTTTGGGGGGAAAGGAGAGTTTGAGGGGGAGAGGGAAGGGGCAGAAAGAAAGGGAATACGCGGGGAATGAAGGAGGGGTAGAGAGAGGGACAGGAGGGGAGGCCGAAGCCTCCGCGCCTCACCTACGGAGCTCGCACAGGGAGCTCCCGCCCGCACCTCGCTCTGAGTGAGCAAATGGCGGAAGGGGCGATTACCGGGGCCTAAATCACCTCGGCCCCGCCCCGCGCAGCCGCCCTGGGGCCCCGCGCACCTGAGCCGGGCCCGCCCTGCACACCTGAGCTGGCCCCGAGCCCCGCCCCGGGACCGCCCGGACACGCCCTCGGACACGCCCCTGGCACCGCTCGGCTCCGCCCCCGGTACCGCCCCTGGCACAGCTCGGCCCCGCCCCCTGTACCGTCAGGCTCCGCCCCTGGTACCGCCCCTTGTGCCTCCAGGCCCCGCCTCCTGTGCAGCCAGGCCCCGCCCCTTGTGCTGCCCCACCCACCTGCAGGCCCCGCCTCACGGCGCCCCGGCTCCGCCCCGAGCCCGCCGCCCCGCCCGGATGGGGCGGGGCCATGGCTGGCGGCCCCGCCCCTCACAGCGGGGCCGGAGCGGCGCTGCCCCGGGCGCGGGGCGCGGGGCTCGGAGGCGGCTCCGGGAGTGGCACCGGGGCTCTGCTGCAGGGCCCGTCGGTAGCTGCTGCGGGTCCCGGGGCTGAGGCACTCCATGGCCCGAGCCTCCCCGGGCCGGGAAGGGAGTTCCGGGGCCGAGGGGAAGGGGGGCAGCCCCACCGCGGCGCTCGGCCGGCGGGCCCTGGCGCTCCCGTTGCGGGCCGGGCAGTGCCGGCCACGGGCGTTCCTGCGGCTCCGGAAGGGGAGGGCAGCGGCTGCTGCCGCCCGGGGCTTTCCCCGGGGAGCGCTGGGAGCAGGGGGGCGGTTTCCTCTGGCGCAGGTTGGGGGACAGGCGGGAGGCTCCTCCTGGAGGAGGTTTGGGGGGGTCGGGGCATGGCAGCCCTGGAGGAGTGTGGGCTGTGAGGAGGGATGTTCACCTGGAACATCCCGTGTTCCCGCTGGGCTGTGCTCCCGGGCCGGGGCTGAGGTGTTGCAGCTGAAATAAACTTCAGTGATTCTCCACATCTCCGGGTGCTGCCCCACAGAGACACAGCACGGTGCCTCCATCCCAGTCCCAAGCACTTCCCATAAACTGGATACGGGAATAAATAAACTGGATACCCTTCCAGCTGCCCACTGCTCCTTCACACACGGGGTCACAGAGGTGCAGTGCTGGCTCTGAACTGCCACATGGCATGTTTTGGGTGCTTGGAACACTCTGAGGGGCTTGGGTTTGGAGCTCAGAAAGGGACCAGGTCCTGCATTTTCCACAGTTGAACTGAGACTAAATGTTGCATTTGGCCTTGAAACCAAGCTCTGGGGGTTGACCTTGGGTCCCAAAAGCACAGCCCGATGTTTGTGAAGCTCAGAAAAAGTCAAGTCAAGTCTAGTCCAGTGTTTCTGGGACTCAGAAAAATGAGCAAGTGCCACTTCCCGGAGACCTGGAAACAGCAGCTCAGGGGGCCGTTCTCAGCCCCCAAAGCCGAGGCTGGGGCAGGGCTGGGGATGGGGACCCTCTCTTGGTCTCCAAAGGCAGGGATGTCAGCACGCCCCAGGCTGGTTCAAGGGTCTGAGATAGTCTCAGGAAAGAAAAGCACTTGTCAGCAGCCCCTTTTCCACATCCAGCTGTTTATTGTGTACAACCACTACAACAGTTAGGACTTCCATTTAAACAATAACTTTATGACAGTTAATAGTTACAAGTGATTGATGACAGCAAGTCATTTACAACTTGGCCAAAATCCCAGAAAACTGCAATTAGCTGGAGCTTTAAATTGGCTAGTAACAAAAAGCAGCAGTTATTAAGCCAGAGCTGGAAGGAACTGGAGCAGCCATTAACTGGAGCATCTCAGTTCCAGAGCTGGACTGAAGAACACGCCACAGCTGGAGGTTCAGCAAGCTGGACTGGGAAACACCTGCAATGAAACAAGCAGAGGGAACAGACATCACCTGGGTCCTCAAATATCCTCAGCAGTGTGAGCAGGGGTCCATCAGCAGGAGCTGGGAGCACCAGGAACAGCTCTTGTCCAGAGTGTCCATCAGCTGGAGCTGTAACAGGCAGAGGTGTCCCTGAGGGAGGGCTGAGCTCACCTGCAGCACCAAGGTCTCGTGGCTGGATCCCCAATTAGTGCAGCCCGGATTCCAGGCGTGGATGTCCCTAAGCAGGAGCTGTGAGCAGCAGCAAGCCCAGGCTGCTCCCTCGGGGAGGGAAGGCAGGCCAGGTGCTGCTCTCTGCAGGGAGGTGGCTCCCAGTTCCATCCCAGAGCAGGAGAGAGCCAGGGGCTCTCCTGGGCACGAGGTGCAGCAGCGTCTCCTCTGTCTCTGCAACAAGGGGCTCAGTCAGCATCCCCAGGGTGCACAGCACAGCCCCACACAACCCACATGTTGTCCTGTCCCCCTCCCAGGCTGGGGCAGCCCTTCCCTCCCTGCTGCCCCTGCTCTGGGCACAGACTGCGCACTGAGGACACGGAGGGAGAATTCTCCACGGGAGAGCTCAGGGCTCAGCCCAAAAACTGCACATTTCTGCCCAGAAAGCAGAGGAGGAAGCACAGATTGCTGCAAGCCCTCTGCTCAGTGAGGGGCACTGTGGGAACCACACAACAGGGGGCTGTGGGTGGGCTGTGCCCACACAGGGCCTGGCCTGGCCCGGCGCCTTCCCCCGGCCACCCTCAGCCTGCCCGGGGAGCCACAGGCTGTGCTGCACATCCTGACAAACACCTCTGAGCCAGGACAACCCTGCCCCAGCCCGAACACACCACAGGGCATGCTCATGCAGCAACGCTGAGCCAAGCCCAGCACTAAGAAGCAAATGACACCGGCCACAAAGGGCCCAGAACAAACAGAAGCCCCCGGAGGGGGAGCAGAGCAGGATTGTCCCCAGGTGTCTGTGACCAGAAGCCAAACCAGCAGCAGCACGGGGTGGCTGCTGATGCTGTGGGGAGAAGCCACCCTCGGGTAGCTGTGCTGCAGCCCCTGCTCTCAGCTCCCCTCACAGCCACGGCTGCCACGAACGTCAGGCACAGCTGAATCCCACCCCCAGGTCCTGTGCTGACCCCCTGCAGCCAGGGCAGCCCCAAACCACACCACAGCAGGACAGGCCACAACCAGAAACCACAAGCACAACCATTTTCTTCCCCAGGAACAGCCAAGCACCATGCAGAGGCAGGGCACAGCCTCGACCCTGGCGCTGCTGCAGCCTGCTGCCAGCCCAAGGTGCCCCACAGCAGGGCCAGCACCAGAACCAGCAGCACAGCGCACTCTCCTCAGCCACAGCCTGGCACAGCCTCCTCAGCTCACGTGCATTGGGCCATTCCTTCCTTCCTGCCACATCCTGCCACCTTCCCCAAGCTGCCCGGGTCGGAGCACTCACCTGGGCTCATCCTGCCGTGCCAGCCTCTCCTGGTGCCACGCTGGGGCCGTGCTCCTCACCTGGGCTCATCCTGCTGTGCCAGCTTCTCCTGGTGCCACGCTGGGGCTGTGCTCCTCACCTGGGCTCATCCTGCCGTGCCAGCGTGCCCAGGGCTGCTTCTGTTGGGGCCGTGTCCCAGGCTGAGCCCCTCGGCCAGTCCCCGTGCTGTTTCCTGCATGGAGACACTCCCTGGTGAGGAAGAGGCTGGGAAGACAAAGCTTTTTCCCCAGCAGGAGCTCCCAATGCACACCACAGGTCCCTGCAGACAGCAAAATGCAGTGGTGAAAACAAAACCTGCCTTGAAAAAAAAACTGCAGCCAACCCTGAGGGCCCTGACCTGCCCCTTTTCTCACAGCGCTGCAGGGCCAGCTCAGCCCCCGACAGCCGCAGCTTTCCGGGCAAACAGGAGCCCGCTGCCCCTCAGGCTTCTCCTGGCTTTGCCTCCTCTCCCTCCCAGCCGCCCCCTCCAGCCTGGCCCGCGCTCTGGGGGCTCTGCCTCCCTCGGGGACCGGGCTGTGCCGAGCCGGGCTGCCGGGCACGGCCTCCGCACCAGGCACAGCTGCCTTGGGGACACGGCCGGTCAGGAAACGCTTCCCCGGACTTACCGAATCTCACGGGAATGACGCGGGGGCTGCAACTGCCCCATCCTCTGCGAGACCCCAGCGGGGGAGGCCCGTTCTGGGGAGCAGCGCCGGGCTCCCTCCTCGGCAGCTTCCCCGCAGCTGGACTGCTGCCGACATGCTTGGGAAACACCAGTGTAGGTTGGAGGTTCCATGGCACCTCCTGGCTCCCTTCTCTAGCGAGTCACGCTGTCCCGCGGGAGAGGCGCCAGGCCGGGATGGCCCCGAGCTGGGAGAGCCCGCACTCACCCGGGCCGAGCTCCGCAGCGCTTCGTCCACCGCCGCACACACCCAAAGCTCTCCCCGTTAAGCCCAGTGACCGTGCCCGTCTCTCCCGGGACCCCGCCAAGCCGCAGCTCCCGCCGGGGCCACGCCGGCCCCCCGGGAAAGGCTGCGGGGCGCGCACGGCGCATGCGCCGGGCGGGCCCCGTCCCCAGCGCTCCGCCCCCTCGGGGCAGCTCCCGCCGCGGCGCCCCCTGCGGGACGCACAGCGGTACTGCGGGAGCGCCCCCTGCCGGTGCTCACGGCCGGGCCCCGCCGCGCCGCTCCGCCGCCTGTGTCCCTGTCGGGCCCTGCCCGCTCCCGGAACGGGACCCGTGTCCCCCGCAGTGGCGGCCGGGTTTGCTCCCCGATCATTCCCGCTGAGAAGCGATCCCAGCTCTGCCCCGGTCCCGAACGGCCGCTGGAGAGGGGGCAGCCGGGTCGCATCCCACACCAGATCAGTTCGTGGTTCGATGGCTAACAAACCACCCCTGACCCGTAACCTTTGTTTCCACTTAGATTCGGCTCGGTTCGGCCGAACTGGGCTCGGTTCGGCTGAACTCGGAGTCGCTGTCTCCGTTCGGCTGAGCTCGGCTCGGTTCGGCTGAACTCGGAGCCGCTGGTGCGTTCGGCAGACCTCGGCTCCGTTCGGCAGAGCTCGGCTCGGTTCGGCTGAACTCGGAGCCGCTGGTGCGTTCGGCAGAGCTCGGCTCCGTTCGGCGCGGCTCCCTGAGGGCGGGCAAGCGGCGCCGCCTCACGTTAAACACGCAAAGCTCGGTGTTCTCCGGCTGCCGCGTCCCGCGGGCAGCCCGGCCCTCGCACGGACACGGACGGGAGCGCGGGATGGGCAGGAGATCATTAGGCTGTGGCTGCACTCGCGCTAATTAATGGGCACGAGAGCAGCAGCCTCACCGTCACGCCCCGGGGTGAGGGAGCTTGACCACAGCACGCCTGGGGACACAGGGATGGGCTCCTCCCCATAACTCCCAGAATGGGGATCACCCAGGGACCTGCACTGCAGAAACTGCAACAGGAACGAAAGCAAACCTCAAGCTAACACTAACAAACCTAGAGATACAAGCAAACAGACAAACCCAAACCAAAATAAAAAAAGGCTGGAGGGAAACCCCAATGTCCCGGCAGGCACAGACCACAGTGACAAGTCAGTTTCCCTCATCACAGTGCCCCGGGCTGTGACAGCTTCCCCAGCTTCACAGGGAGGGCGGCGTGCCAGGGCTGCCTGCAAGGAGCCTTCTGCACCAGGACAGAAGGCAGGCAGGGCACCTGGCACCGCGGAAATGTGGGAAGCCAGGCCCCAGCAGGGAACACTTATCAGCTGGGCAAAACCTTCCTCCTGGAGAACCAAAGGTTCTCTGGAAAAAATGGAGGTAATCCAGAGCAATCCATTCCTCCAGGAGATGAGGAGGAGTGGGCACCCACCCGGGAAATGGGGAGCCAGTGGTAAGTCTGTGTGTGTCAGCCCCTGCCTCGGTCACGGGCGGGAGTGTGGCTTGTCCTGGCCGTGGCTGTGACACAGACAGAGATACAAACTTGGCTGCCAAAGCCCTGCTGTCCACAGCAGCTGCCCACGGCGCACTGCAACAAGTGAGAGTGGAAGCTCAGAGCCAAAGGGAACACTCTCCTTTACTGTGTGCCCTGCACATCTCCAGCAAGGGCACAGCCACTCAGCAGCTGCCTGAGCACTCACGGCCCTGTCGGACAGCTTCCCAGCCAGCGCAGCACAAAGGAACTCGCGTGGCTGTGCCAGGGGCTGTATGTGCACCTCCACAGCCTGGAAAGAAATCAGAAACAAGAGAGAACACATCACAATTCCAGCCCTTCAAAAACACAGGAGGAAACTCAGTCACTTGACTGAGGGACAGCCCTTAGTCCTAGACGGTGCCAGTGCTTTAATTCCAGCTGTGCACATTTAGTGTTACTTGTAGCCGAGACCTGGGTGTTTCTGGCCCAGCCTCAAAGTCCAGCTGGAAACAGGGCCACATCCCTCCCACGGGTAAGGAGGCCTGTGCCTGGGCCCCAGCTGGAACATCACTGCTCACCGTGGTCACTACAAAGCAAAAATCCACCCCTCTAATGACAGCTGCAGACCAGTTGGGGCTGAAGGATATGGTGCTGAGGCATATTATTAACTTGTTGGCAAGAAGCTACCATTGATGTTAAAAAAACCTCAATATGAAATTGGACATGGTTACCTGAAACTGGGGTGGTTCTACCATCTTGCCAAGGTGGTGTATTGCACCCCATCACAAGAAATCTGTTTCTCCGACCGTTCTCTGAGACAGGCAGTCCCTAAAACCTCTGGCGGTCAGAAAGCGCAGGCTGGGAAGGAGCTGCCAGGGCCGTGGCCGTGTGCGGTATCTGTTTCCCCCTCTCCCAGAGTGCCGGAGAGATGAGAAGCATCTTCTGGCCGGGCGTGCCGTAAGCTGTCAGCCAGGTCTGCATCAGCTCCCCAGGCTCTGAAAACACAAAGGTGCCCGTGCCCGAGAGCTCCCTGACTGACACGAGTCCGAGCTTTATGTCAGTCCCCGGAGTGTGGCAGGACCGTCCCGAGAGCCCCGCGCACACCGCGGCGGGCAGTCGCTGTCCCGAGCGCTCCGCGTCCCGAGCAGCCCCGCTTCACGCGTCCGCTCCCGGCTCACTCCCTTCCTTCGCCGCCGGCTCCCTTCCTCCGCTGCTGCCCGCTCCTTTCCTTCGCTCCCTGCTCCCTTCCTCCGCTGCTGCCCGCTTCTTGCCTTCGCTCCCTTCCTTCGCTCCCCGCTCCTTTCCTTCGCTCTCTTCCTTCGCTCCCTGCTCCCTTCCTTCGCTGCCGGCTCCTTTCCTTCGCCGCCGGCTCCCGTTCTTCGCTGCCGGCTCCCTTCCTTCGCCGCCGGCTCCCTTCCTTCGCTGCCCGCTCCCTTCCTTCGCCGCCGGCTCCTTTTCTTCGCCGCCGGCTCCTTTCCTTCGCTGCCCGCTCCCGTCCTCCCCCGCCGGCTCCCTTTCCCCGCTCCCGTTTCCGTCCTCCCCCGCCGGCTCCCTTTCCCCGCTCCCGTTTCCGTCCTCCCCCGCCGGCTCCCTTCCCCCGCTGCCGGCTCCCTTTCCCCGCTCCCGTTTCCCTCCTCCCCCGCCGGCTCCCTTTCCCCGCTGCCGGCTGGCGGTCGCGCACGGTGCCCGCTGGGAGGGGCCGTGCGGCTGCGGCGCGCCCTGCCGCCCCGAGTGCCGCCGCTCCGAGACACCCCGGCTCGGGCGGGTTCTGCTGCTCTTAAACCCGGGGCTCTTGCCGCTTTATCTCAGTGATGCCAAGTTGAGGTCGGGTTGACCCGTACGAGACGGCAACAACTTTCCCCGCTCCAAACTCTCTCTGCAAGCTCTGCAGCGTCAGGAGCGTTGGTTTTGTCGCCCGTTCAGCAGCCCGGCAAAGCCACAGAGCCCGCTCTCCTGTGCAGCGGCTGCCGAGGGACACCCCGAAGGAAACAGGCCTGAGGATGAAATGTCCGTGCCTGCACACGAAGAATGGGTCTCTGCACCAGGGCCCCAGTGCAGCCGGGGAGGGAAGGCAGCACTGCGGCTTCACCTCCCCTGTGATTGACTAAATTTGAGATAGCCAAAGCTGTCAAGCAGCAACGAAAGTCTCACTGTGTGTGCTAGAAATCCTTCAGTGCTGAATGCACCTTGAACCAGCCTACTTGTCATGTTTCTTCTAGTGAGGCATTAGCATTAGTGTCAAAGCTTGTGAATGCGATACAGACATTATCCAGTGAATACATACATTCCCAGCTCAGTTTGGGTGTGCTGCTACACTGAATAACGTGGGAGGGAACGGCGGCTGTCACTTCTCCTTACGCTGCTGTTAAACACGATCACTGCAGGGCCTGGGCTGGCCTACCTTGCCAGGAGAGCTCTGAGGGGAGTGACAGAATGTTTAAAGTAATGAGATACTGCCACTGCAATATTATTCCCAAGTATCTATTTCTGACACGTTTGTTGGGGTAATTACTCTGGGTAGTATTTTTCACTTCAGGCATTAAGTTAGGCATATCAGCTCCATCCTGAGCAGGTGTCAGCACGCTCCCAGAAGGAATGCTAGCTTCTGTCCAACCCACTACAGAGGCCAGGGGCAGCGGTGCTGGTGCACATCTGAAATGAAGCACACTTTTACTCAGACTGCTTTGTGAAATTTTTGTTGAGAGGTTTCTGCACACCTTCTTGTGACATGCTGAATTTAGAGATGAGCTGATAAAGGCAGGAACACTGTTCTGTCATCACTGTCTGAGTTTTTGAAGATTTCAAACCCCTGCGTATTAAGTCCTAAAATTTTGACCATTACTTATGACATGGATGACACCACATCAATTTCTTTAAGGAAGGCCATGGTGCACAGATGCTGCAGACCCCCTTCAGGCACTGATGAAGTAATCCAGGTCCCCTTCTTCCCTCAACACTTTGGCATCACTGCATTTATTCCAAGTGCTGTACCCTCACATCAGGATTTATTTGGATATTCTACAAATATATGCACATACGTACATAAGCAGCTTTTATGTTAGCTACATATATCCTTCAATGAAACTCTCCATCATGAACCACATTTTCTCAGGTTGGCTCTGCTAAGATAATGAAGCTAAATTCAGATGGCCTGGAGCAAAGCCTTTGGCAGAGATGTGTTTTCATTCCTGTAGTCTAAATGAGAATCTTGTCAGGGTAATCTAAAATATCCCTGGACCCGACTTCCTTAGAAAAGAAATTGCACTTGGTACCATAATGACCTCAGGAAACAAAGCTTCATTTAAACTTAAAAGCATCAGCCACAATTAAAGCACTGCTTCATTTTGCTAGGATCTGTTTAAACCACTGCCAGTCAAACCGTAACAGGGGCCACTGACCTTAAGTTTCTAACAAGCAATTACCTCTAGCATGCTTCCTAAAAATTTAGTCCTTTAGTAAATTAGAAAATAAACCACCAAAACAAAACAAAACAAAAATAAAACAACAAAAAAAACACCCCAAACCCTAAATAAACAAACAGTACCTCCACTCTCCAATAGATGAGTCTGAGCAGGTTCATTCTACAGCACCATCTTTCATTATTATGGATTCCACTGAACTAATTACAGTCACCTTCTACCCAACTTCCCCCAAACCCAATAACTGTTGGGTTTTTTTAAGCAAGCATCTCTACCTCCACACATCAATTTTTTTTGATCAAAAACCCGAGGGGTTCCAGGTAAACAGCAGCAAAAACTGATGTTCAGAACAACAGCTGTTGTTGCAGTACCTCACAGAGATGCCCCCCAGGCTTCACTGCCTTGTGGCTCCCCTTGTTCTCCCTCTGGGGCAGTGTCACACTTGTGAGCTGCACATGGCCCCAAGCTCCAAGGAGGCACCTGAAGGCAAGCTCTAACAAACACAAGACTCACATCACCCCAGTTGACTGTGTTTGCCTTGAAGAGCCTTCAGTGTTTCAGTGAGTGTAAAATTGCACCACTCTAACTGCTGTCTCATTAAGCATCAGAATAAACAGCTGCTTATTTTAATGGCTTTCTTCAGGCAGTTGCTAACAGTTCTTCTGCCACATGCTGTGGTCTGTGCTTAAATATTATCAGAGGCTGGTTCTGCCAAATACAGAGACTGGTAAAAGCATCCCTGAAAGCACTACCAGCCCGACAGCAGCTGTATGGCATTAAAGAAACGTGACACAACTTTGGAGCCACTGAAATGGTAAAGCTGCCTCCAATCCAAATTTCCTAGCTAAGTTTTGCCAGCAAACTGCCTAGACCTTGGATTCTTCTCCAATAAATCCACTGATATCTGAGTATGACATTTTGCTTCTGCTTCCTTACGTGTTTGCTTCATGCTAGGAAGTGCCAGTTACATTTCACCAGTCCTGGAGACCCAGCTGCACATCTAAAGACAAGTTTCCATATTGCCTAATATCAGAGCAAAAAGAGATGCCAAACCTTACAGAGAGATTGTGAAAATGCAGGTAGAAGTCATAACAAACTGGCAAGCAAATGGCAATGCATTGCTCTATCCAACATAAATCAAAGACTGAGGAGATGAAGGAGAACTGCCCACAATTCTGTCCTTGCTCACGGAGCAGCTCCCCAGGACCCAGCTGATGATGAGGGCAGGTTTTTGTTCCTCTCACGTGGACCTGTCCTCTCACTGCTGAAGATTCTGTATGGTCACTTCCACTTCAGCTTGGGTGTTTATGCTCACAAAAATTCTCTAGAAATAGCAATAGTTTTTCAGAGCTTCTTCATTGCCTGTTTTTATAGCAAGCTTGAGTGTCTGTTTCTGATTTTATGCTTCACTGTTATTTAAGCTGCTGCTACACTGATTGTTTTCTCTAGCAGTTAAGGATGTAGGCTGTAAAGGAGCCCTTTCCAATAATGTGCTACAGAAAACCCCTAAATCTACCAGGCTACCACAAAAGGGAAATACCTGTTACTGTGGTGGGAGGGCATGAGAGTCATGGGGTTTTTGTTGTTGTAGTTGTTTTGTTATGGGGTTTTTGTTTGGGTTTTTGTTGTTTTGTTTGGGTTTTTTTTTTTTTTTTTTTTTGTTTGTGTTTATTTATTTATTTTTTTAATTATTACAGCTGCAATAAGAAGTCATGAAGTCTTCCACACCTTCCCATGTTTCCTCACCCCTTGGCATGATTTTACATCTCAGGGATTAGGAAACAGTTGTCTCCCATTTGCTGGCGACCTTATGACCTTCTACAAAATACCAGACCAGGTGCAGAGCAGAGAAGTCCGTGCTTTCCCATCTCCCAGTTGCCAAATCTGGTCAGGATTTCCTGAAGGCACTCAGCACACCTCCATAAACCCCATACCCTGCGTGCAGCCTTGCCACCCAGCCATGGGAACGCTGCTGAGAGAAACTGGAGTCCTTGCTGCCTGAATTTCCCTGTCCCAGCTTTAGTGCAGCACAGGCTCTTAGAGGTGGCTGTACCCAGGCAGAGAAAGAGGCAGCTTTGCAGGCTGGCACCAGGTGGTGTCACCTCCCTAGCAGAAACATGCTGGGAATGGAACACGAGGCACTGCACTGACCTGGGACAAACAGCTGTCTGCCAAGCTCCACAATGCTCCTAGATCCAGGCTCCAGTTTCTCTCCCAGGAGAGCTGCTGCCACCAACATGTGCCCATCCTTGGCCACAGGAAGCCAGTTACAGAGCTCATGCCTACCACACCAGACAAGGAAAGGGATCAGCACCGCTGTGACTCCTAAACCAGCCTCAAACCAAAGCACTTTCCTGAAAACAAGGGCAGGAGAAGCTTGTCTAGCCATTTTCTCAATGAAAGACTGCCTAGGGAACTTCCATCACCTTCCCAGCTCCACCTAGGCAGCACAGTTTTCCTGCTTCTGGTGGTTTTCCAGCAGAGCTGGAGTACTCAGGGTTACACTGATGTTACTCGGGTTACTCTGATGTGTCCCCAGAGTGCTGCTGGCAGGTCCTGTAAGCTCCTCTTGAACATAAAGAGCAGCAAGGCACCAGCTGGGACATTTCGGACATTTTGGAGCCTTACAAGGGCAGGCCTGCCCGCAGGCACCCAGCTGGGAAGCCCTTCACAGCATTCCAGACAATATTCCCAGCAGGAGCTGGGAAAGACTCGCTGGGACAGGTATCTGGGCCACAAAACTGCTGTCACAGGATGTTCATGGCCACACCGGCCAGCGCAGGGCTTCACCCACACCCTCCTGTTCAGCATGTGCCTTGCTCCATGGGGCAGCCTTTCAATTAA